CAAACAAGCACTTACCGCTGTTATCCAAAACAAAAGAGGTACCCAGCGACACAAAAGTAGTGTGCTCTATTGAACAGAAACTCAGCCGAAAGTCAACCCTAACAACCAGATTGTCTGCAGTGATCCAATAAAAGGCATCTGCAACCTGCAGAAAAACGTGGACGGATGAAAGGAGTGACGATAAAATTGGGCAAAGGAAACAAAAAGTTATCAGCACGAGCAGGCAGAGCTGTTCTGATAAGAGTTGAATGAAAAACAAGGCTGAAACCGAGGCTGTCTCCCTTAAGTATTTACACACATAGACTGAAAATGCTTGAGAGCTCGGGCTGCTTCGGCCTTGGACAAGGAAATGGGAAACAGGGCAGCAACCCACACTTGAGCATGCTGCTGAGGATTTCCTCTGTGATAAACATGGAAGAAAGGACTCAATAAAACTTCACTCCAGTTGATAAATGTACAACATGATGGGAAGTACTGGAAGTTGCCATTACTGTGGTGGCGTTTCTCTACAGTATGCACGTGTTTGAACGCAAGCTGTCCTAAGAACATACAATTTTCTGCTGTATCTAACTATATTTACAAAGTATTTACTAATATAACTGGTCCGTGATGATTAAATGCGACTCTTGAGACCTTGAGGACGATCCACTCAGCCAGATCGACCACACAGGACCAGCCCATCAACAGTGGGTTGAGAGCCGGAGAGGAGCCATGCTGGTCAAGCTTGGACTGCTCCTGGCTAATGTCCGGTTTTGGAAACTTTTCCCTTTTGGGACTCAGGCTGGCAAAACAACAGGAAATCAGAGACTGTTGTGCCCACATCATTACAGAGACCTGCTCCATCAGCATCCTGGATCAACACTCAACAGGAGGACCGTGTTCTGAGCCGAGAGAGCTCAGGACGAGAAGAGGCAGAGTCTTTATATCGATGATGTTTGGTGTTCAAATGCAGTCAAACAGGATGGACACGGTTTCTTTTTATGTGAAGATGAAACCATTTTATCATCACTACCTTGTTACTTCTGTCTACATTCATCCAGATTCAAATAATAAATAACTGTATATGTTTATTTATGTTATTCTATTTTATTTATCTTTTGTGTTAGTCTACGAATTATCTTTTTCTGTATATAGCATGAAGGAATTACAAACTTTCATTTGGTTATACAACCTTGTGTTTTATAATGATGAATACATTTCCTTGATTATGCTTGCTAGACAGTACAGTAGTATTACACTGTACATCACTTGAAACCTTCATCAGTAACTGGGGGCCACTGCCTGACGTCCAACTACCCATGCTGCTGTCATAGAGTCGCTACGACTTGCCACTGCAGTAATGGCGGCGCCAGCGCTAGATGGTCGACGATTGCCCGATTTGTGTACAAACCAAACGATAAACTAAGCAAAGAGGCTGCAGGACCCTGGACAAAAGACTGAATGTTAATGAACCAAACCATTAGGTCTAACAATAGTATCCACCGGAAGACAGTTTCATTCATTGATGAAGGAATCTCTGAAAGCTATTAAGTCTTCTTCCCAAGATTTTCTCTCAGGTATTGCCAACTATATCTGCCAATTATGAAGCAACAAGCTATGTTCAGCTATGAACCAAAACTAGTAGATAGTTTGGATACTTTTCTTGCTTGTTTGAGTTGAATCAAGATGCAGATGGGTGAATTTCACCACAAATGCCAAATACGATGAGTTCATTCTACCTCTGACCGCTAAAAATGTTCCAACGCAGGTTTTCTTCCAGTATCTTCACCGTCTTTCTCAGTCCCCCCTTTGTACCAGACTGAGTGCCATTCTACCGAGGCCCACATGCTTTTTGCAGCATCTGCTCCCTTGGAAACTTCCTTTTTTGACTTTTGCTAATTTGAGACTGCAGGGAACAGTGACAAGGGAAACCGGTGGAAGCAAGCCCAAAACAAACAAAAGTAGCAAACCAACAGAACCTCTCCTGTCACATCTGAGCGGCGAAGGAGCTGAATGCTGGCTGGGCAGCGCTGGCAGGGGCTCTCTCTGTGTCTGTCCATGCATTATCTTCAGAGCTGGATACCAACAGTGCCAGCATGAAAACAAACCTGTCGCCGCCAAAGCATTTAGTCACGACGCCACCTCAGCAAACAGTGGGGAAAAGGCACAAACAGGATTCTGTGACAGCAGCAGGACAGTTTTTCCTCTTCTTTCTTTTTATGTGTGCTCTGCATGTTTTAAACATGAGTTGAACCAGTTGGAAAGGACGATTAGGAGTTCACAATCTGTCCTTTGGTTAGTAAGTTTTCATGTTTTTTTTAATGCACTGCAAAAATAATCTTGCAATTACCAAATGTATTAACTGTCACAGTATATTGAGAGTTGTTACTATATTTCTTTTCTGGTCTTATTTTTACAATATGATTATAGATAAGATAATTGCAAGAACCACCATATTGGTTTCTTTCTTATTTAATAAATTGTCATGGTTTTATTGCTATTGTGGTAAAGCATTTCTGGGTAACATTAAAGAAAGAAAACATCTCTCTGCAGAGAAAAATTAAAATTACTTGTTTTATTCAGGAGGATCTATTGGCAGAAATGGAATATAATATGTATAGGTATGTTTTCATTAGTGTATAAGCACCTGAATAGAGGACTCATTGTGTTTATGTTACATTAGAATGAGACGTTTTAATCTACAGATGCCGTCGATCGCCTTCCATGGAGTCCGCCATGTTGAACGGACAAAGCAAACACTAGCTATATACAGGGGCCTTTCGGGAGGGATTTCCATGAGTTTCGTGGCCACCGTAGTTTCTCCTACGCACTTCACGGCACGTTCTTAATTCCATGTTGTCAAATACAGACGCTGGTGGTGTTCAGTTAGTTGTAATCTGCAACTTCACCACTAGATGCCACTAAATCTTACACACTGGTCCTTTAAATCTATGGAGAAAAATAGTTTCAGCAGGACTCGAAAGCCCAAGGTCATTGGATTCATGGAACATATCAGAGACCAAGATAAGTTTCATTAAAAGTAAGAAAATAGACAATCCAAGTACTGTAGTAATTGACGGATAGCAGGACGGAGAGCAAACACAGACCACAGTAAAGGAAGTGGAAGAACTGTAAAACCTGCATTTACACACTGTACACAAGGATACGACCCTCCAACTAAACACACTTTACCACCCAACATCCCCAGCTCACACATTCAAACTTCAAAGACTGAGTGGTAAGCCCACCCACTTACTTACTGTATGCAGATCCCTCCACACACACACACACACACACACACACACACACACACACACACACACACACACACACACACACACACACACACACACACACACACACACACACACTCACTCACACACGTTAGAAACCTCTCAACTTTACCTACAACTAAATAAACTCAAGGATAGTTGTTTTATTTAAAGACCAAATCAGATGAGCTTTGAAGTTCTGCCGCAGTTTTTGGCCTTGTTGTTCCCGAACTGGGATTTAGGGACCTTCACACAGTCATTGGAGGACTCTGGGCTAAAATATGCAAGAGTTTAAGTGCATTGTTGATATTCTGTTATCAAGAAGCTAAAATTAGGAGAAATATATCTGTGAAAGACTTTAATTTGGGGTTATGCTCACAAACAAAAGAGATATCCTTTTAGATGATGATCCCCAGTACCAAACATTTATTGGCTGGTGGTCTGTTGGATTAAAATTCGACATACTTAGTCATTAAGTCAATGCAGTGTATTATTACTACACTATTTAATAGTCAGAAGCAATAATTCACACATTTTATGGCGGACTGAAATAATAATAGTTCTGAATCCAAATTTGAGATAGATAGTTGCTAGATCACTTTTTATCTACACATATATTTTTTATGTTGCATTTTAAAATAATCCTAATTATTCAACGTGAAGCATTTTGCCCTTATGCAAATATGTCTTTATGCTGTTGTTATAAATTCTTTTAATGATGAATTTTATGTAAAGCACTTTGAAACTGCCTTAATGTATGAATAGTGCTTCGCTTCCCTTTTGGGATTAAAGTTGTGTTTAAACTGGCTTGAAAGCAGCGTCAGGGACCCTTCCTGATTGTCCATTTTTCCATCCAGATTTTACATGAAAACAGAACCTTCTGTTAATAAGCACATGACTGATCTGAATCCCTTTAACCAGCTAAATCAGAAGCTAAATATGATTTTTTTTGCAGTTGAGTCTGGATTTGAAGATAAAGTTGTCCAGAGTTGGCTACAGGTGTCTAAAGGTGTCAAGAGTCAACTAACATGTTTCAGACCTTTTCTAAAATACTTTGTGTTATTGCTATTGGTGTTTTGTATTTGGTTGTTTGATCGTGTTGACATTTTGCCAAATCTAGATATCAAATTGAATCAGTCTCAGGAGGTGCCTTAATGGTTTAAGATGGATTAGGGGTTGCATGTGGCTGAGCATCTCTCTTTTTTGATTTGCTTTTCTGGAGTTTCCTAAAATTAAAAGTGTCTTGTATTTAGCTGGACTTTACTGAGACCTTCACAATTTAACTAACTGAGTCAGAACTTGTCTAAGGGCCCCTTAAGCTTTTTTCTTAAGGTATCTGGAATTTCCTGGATTTTGGTAAAAGCTGACTAAGGGTGTCTTGTCTTTGTATGAACTGGCTCCTGCTTAGGGTCTCTGGAGTTGGCTAACAGTGTAAAGCCTTTCTTAAAGGTGTCTGAACTGTATCTAGCCTTGGCTATGGGTCTCTTGAGTTGGTGTTTCTGGACTTGGCTGAAGGTATTTTGTCTTTACTGAAGATGCCTGAGCACTCAGTAAGGGTGGAGTGTCAAGACTTTGCTAAAGATGTCTGGATGCGGTTAACAACCTCTGCTAAAGTTATCTGTAATTTGCTAAGGGTGGTGTAAGTTGTTTTAGGGTGTCTTTTGTTTTTGCTAAAGGAGTCTTGTGTTTGACTTAGAGTGTTAAGATTTGGGCGAAGGGTTCAGGACTCGCTCTAGAATGAGCTCTTACCTGTCTTATGGTGGTGGTGGTGATGGTGGTGGTGGCGGAGGTGGTGGTGGGCGGAGATGTGGATGTGTTGGGCCAGGACGTCAGCCAGCCTTCCGCCGGCTGCCCCGCTCCCCCCGCTGCGCGTGGAGGAAGAGGAGGAGGAGGCTGTGGAGGACGTGGTAGTGGTGGTGGAGGAGGTGCCGTGGATGGCCCGGCTTATCCAGTGCTCCATGCTGATGCTCCCCTCCCGGCTCGACGAGGTTCCCCCGCCACCTCCTCCGTCCTCTTCTTCGCCGTCTCCTCCCTCCTCTTCCTCGCCATCGCCCTGTCCCTCGCCCTCTGAGCCTGAGGAGGTATCTGAGGAGGAAAACAGACGATGGAGGTGGAACAAAAACTCTGTTTATGCAGCTGAAAGATCAAAAGCCAAAATGTTTTTAATCAGAAGTTATGTTTAAAGGTTATATAACATTTAAAACATTAATATAGCAGCAAACAAGGACGTCCCTTTGCATGTGTTGCTCGTGCAGCCTCTGTGTGGGTTGTAGTTAGGATGTTACAGTGATAGTGAGAGTGATGTTACGGCTGTTTCTGGTTAAACTAAAGGTCTATCTCTGTAGGGATCCTTTCCATAATGTTAGCAGAGACTTAGAATAACAATCTGAGACAGTGGCAAAAAAAAATCTCTTTTAGCAGATTTGTCCCCAAGGATTAACGGCCATTGTAGCCATTTTCATGAATATTTTTGCGTATAACTTGGTGAATTAAGGGTTTATGACAACAAAACCAGCGTTGGTGAACGTTTTAAAGACTAACAAAGACGGTTTTGGTTTGTCCTATTTTATTTCTGTCCCATTGTTTTGGTCTGAGATGCTCTAGTGTGTCATCCAGTGCCAAGTGATTTTTGTATATATATATAGCCTTCAATCCCACTGTGATTGGTATATAATAAGCTATATTTAGAGACAGACAGATAAAGAGTATCTATGTATATCACAGTCTATTGTCTGTAGCCTGGAAATCCATTTCCCAGCTCCCATCTGTTTAGAGTCGCCGCGGGGGGGTATGGAGTAAAGTTTGTTTTTGAAAGCTTAAGTGTGTGTGTGTGTGAGAGTGAGTGAGAGAGAGAGAGAGAGTGTATATGTGTGTGTTTGTGTTTTGCATGTGATTTCCATAATGCCTACGGCTATGAGACTGATAGTGGTGATATGAATAACAACAGAAGCTGACCCAGTTCTCACACACACACACACACACACACACACACACACACACACACACACACACACACACACACGTACAGGTGTGTGTGTGTGTGTGTGTGTGTGTGTGTGTGTGTGTGTGCGTGTGTGTTCGTGCGTGTGTGCATGCGTGTGTGTGTTTGAGAGAAGAAGAAGAACTAAACCTATGTGTCAGGACGTAGTGGAGAACAAATTACCTCGGTGGAAAGAGACACTTGTTGCAATAAAATAAATGAATGCAGTCATATTGTTGATGTGGGAAGACGAGGACACAGTTTTCTTGCTGTTCAACTGGTTTTAATCATTAGAAATATGCTGCAATGTGACGGTTGCTTTTTTAAAAAATGATTTTGTGTTGCAGATTAAAGAGTAATAGTCCCTCTGAGGCTGTCCCCACCACCAGTAGTACACTGTTCTCACTTGGCTTCTTAATAATGAGGAAGAGGAGCCGAATGTGCCCTCCATTTGGGGTCAAACTCTTTGGTTATCAAACTACTTCTTCTAACAACATACTACTCTATATAAAGTGTATACAAATGTATTAATAGCTCAAAGATCAATGCATTGCGTGCTTGTGTGTGCAGATAGTGGGTCAGGCATTAGCAGCATATAAAACACACAAAAAAAAAAAATAATATGTAAAAATATAATACAAAAAACATGTAAACAACATGTTAAATTACACATATATTCATATTGAGCTACATATAACCCTGCCTACTCAACTATCTTTATGGGGTTATATAACAGCCAGTGTTTTCAATTTTGCCTTAAGCGTGGTTTGTAGTCTGTTTAATGCTATTAGGAATCTTATTCCAAATCCAATAACGTTTACCCATCTGGCTACTGCGTCTGATTTGTTACACTGGACCTGGTGTTGAGCCTGTGAGCCTCTCTGACTCTCTGGAGTTCAAGCTTTAGGATCACTCATGTAACGAGCGTGCTAGTGTTAGCATGGCAGTAACCTGCCAGGTGCATGTGGATGGATTTTACTCTCTTTATTTCTTTCACAAATTCCAGTCACTAAATGAACTAAACATTTAAAAGGGGACAACTCTCCGCCCTCAATGCAAACAATCCTCCTCTTCTCATATTTCAAACACGACCACTGTTACCTGTAAAAGGTGACATTTCTTGTTCGTCATGGATGACATTTGCAGCCTAAAATGCCGTGCGGCCTCGACCTGTTAACTACCACGGCGCTTTGCTGACATGCTTGATTGGCAAATCAGTGTCTCGTTATCAGCGGCACCCTGAAGAGACTACCAGTGACAAAACACAAACATGTTGACGAGAATAAGATGCTGCCAGGCAACCCGGGAATCTCATGAAACAAACACACACAAACATACAAAGAGAAAAGAGAGAGAGAGAGAGAGAGACACCCAGACGCAAAGCAGCTCTTCATGAAGCTGAAATATATTTAATGATGTATTGAGAAACTGAGAAAACACAGCTGTGGAAATCAGTCAAAAGCCAATAAAGAGCACATCAGAGTCCTCCCTCGCTTGTCATCTCTACACGATACGACACGCTGCTCAGCAACACGCGACTCTGCTGTCCTCGAGTGAACCTCGCTGGCAGGCAGACAGCCGTGTGTGTGCGTGTGTGTGAGATTGGTTTTACAGCTCCCTGAGGACATGCGCTTTCTAAATCTGCGAGATGGACTGTGTGTGTGTTTCTGTGTGACTCCTTGCTTTGTGTATGAGGTAAAAATAAAAATCACGTGAGTGCTGTGTCTGATGCCTTCAGAGCACACAAACAAACAGCATGTGAATGTGTTGCAGAAAATGTGTTTGTGTTAGCGGTTGATGATCGTTGCAGGCGTGTCGATAAATATGTGCATTTATATATGTTAAATATTATTGCATCATATTTATGAGCTATATTCTGCTCACTGTACAACAGGTGGACAAAATAACAGAGACACCTGATGTAATCATTCTCCGACAAGAGCTCAGCTTTGATAGCGAGCTCAATTTTAGATTTAGTTCTGATTGTTTTCAAAACGTCTGGCAATTGACAGTCAATCAAATTGAAATATAATTAATATCAACACTTTTCATCTGAATTTTTGTAGCCAAGACATCAGAGACACACATGGCGGAAGCTATAGCCCTAAAAAGCTGCCCGCCTCCTTTCGGTGTGTACGGAGGGAGCAAACTGCGACGCAGAGCCCCGAGGCCGACTAGCGATCAGCAGCAACCAGTGTCTGGTCTATAAATTCAACATGCCATGAGCAAGAAAACACACTGCGGGCCAGAGAAAACCATGGAAACCAAACTCTGCTGCAGGCACAGGTTTGGAGACGTGACCACACTGACCACAACAGCACAGGAAGACATTATTAATATTTTACTGTCTGTTTGTTTGCAGTACACTGGGAGAAATGTATACTAATTATATGAGTTTTACACAGGTTCAAAAAATGTTTTAGTGCTTTAAACAGACAAAAATCCTGCTTTATCTATTTGTTTAGAAAACAAAGTTCCTTATAGTTTGATCAATTCATGCCTTTTATTATCATAGATGCTCACCGATTTCCCCTTTCCATTGAATGGCTTTTATTAAAAATGCATTAAACATCATGCATTAAAAAGTAACACAGAATACAGTAGTACTTTTACTATTATTACTTTTTTTTGCAGCACCAATAGTTTTACTTGTAGTTGGGTTTTATTTCAGCAATGTAAGAGTACTTCTACTCTTTCCACCACTGCTGTATAGAAAAGATAAAGCGATGAAGGTAAGACTGAGGAAAGACGAAGAAGGTGAAGCACATCCTAAAATTGACTTTTGATGTCATTCAAGTCTTCATGAGAAAATGTGTTAATTTGTCAACCGTCACAAGGGATCAGTGTCCACTCTCATCCAATAAAATACCCTCATATTTAATCTCTGTGCCGTTAGTCTAAATCATGCCTAGTTCAGTGAATCTCTGTAAAGTTCGACCCTGCAGCCAGAGAAATAACGGCCTCATTAACACCCTCATTAAGCCACACCAGCGCCATAAAGACACGGATGGCTGCCACCGCCACCCACACGGGACAGATCCCGCTTCGCACGCTACAGCAGTGAAACCAACTGTGTGATGTGTCCGGTACACATTTAAAGAGAAGCGATATCTATCTTAGATATTTCCATATGCCAAATGTTCATCAGAGGCCGGAGGAGCTGGCAGTAGCTTTGGCTCGAGTTACGCGAATGAATCCTGCAGTTTCGCTCTTGTAACTCCCCCAGCGATCCACTAACTTCAAACATGCAATCATATATATGTGGGAAGAGGAAATGAGGAGGATGTTCGGGGGTTGTTGCCACCTGCATACGTAACTAACTAACTGACAGCAGCGTTGCCAGATCAGGAGAAAATACAAGCCTAAAGGGAAATACAGCTATCAAAAACCTCCAAATGGATCCATATTGATTATGACTCCCTCTCAGCAGAGTTTCTGTCCTTCAGCAAAGTTGTATCTGATCTCAAAAAACTTCCACATATAAATTGTGAAGGACTCTTTTATAAGAGCAGGAGCAAGTAATTGACACGGAAATATGTGATTATGCATCCTCTAGTCATAGTTTACGATTGCACGACACATTTTCAGATTGCAGTATATTTATTTATTACAGACAGTTAAAGTGTGACGTACTGGTTTATTCTTCTTTATTTATACTGTTTACATTTAAAAATGGAGACTTGTTGTTTGTGTGGGACCCCAAAAATCCAAGAAAACTGAATGAATGTGAGTTTAAGAGCAGTTTCTACTTTGGGGAATTATTTTTCCATTTGTTTTCAGTTTCTCCAAAGAGGACGGACTCTATCGTATTACAGCTTTTCCTCGATCATGACTTGCAAATTTTTTTCTTCAAGTTTTACGAGGCATTTTGAGAATCAGAAAAGTCCACAGGTTATACAGCACGTAGTACCTTAACCAGAAGTTGAAGCAACTAAACGAGAACAACATAAAATACCCAGATATGTTAAAACATTTTGGATTTTCAGTCCTGAAATGAAAGAGAACCAAGTGCTCAAAGCTTTGGTACGTAGTACAACAAACAGAGGTGTTCTTGGAGCCAGTATCTAGTACCTTTACTGTATCTACTGCCTGATAGAGACCTTGATACTATAAGATCTCAAATAGTAGATGTTTCTGACCCTTTCAACCGCTGTGACAATACCGACGTCAGTGAGTTTAACACAGCAGGCACCATAAAGATGAATTAATTCTAACTACTTGGGCAAAATAATATAATATAACATCATTATAGTGTGTGACAACAAGTGTATAATTGTTTAAATTGACTTTAATTGAGTTTTATTCATGTCATGCACTTTTTGAGTCTTACATTTTACACATCTACATTCACATCTCTTTGTGGTAAAGCTTTACTCCATAAAGATGTTCATAAAGAAAAGATTTAAAGTTTTACACATTAAATTGAACCACAAATAATATATTTTCTCTATATGTTTTAACTTCTAATAAAAATAAAGAATGAATAATATCTGTCTGTTGCGTCACTCAACCCTCTAATTTCTCACATCCAGACATTGTGGCCGACCAAACTCATGAGAGAAATGACTGAATTATACTTTCCAAGGTTAGCCTTTTCATTTCCAAAAGTGCTTCAAAAAGTAGTGACTACAGCAGCGGTAATAAAGTAGGCCCTCTTTTCTTGCAGTATTGACAGTCCCAAGTAATGATCAACTATTTCCAGTTGGCCCACACAACAGAGCGCCTATCAATCTCCAGGTTTCACACAGAAAGCAGTCAATGAAGGTTCTTCCAGTTCAATCACTGACTCAATACTGCACCGTGCAGCTTTTATCACCTTCATATTCATACAAACTTCTGCACACATCAAAATGTAAAATAAAATTGCTCCCTAATCACACAAGTGACTGTGGAAGTTGCCAGCGGTCTGACAGACTCGCTGGGTGACTGACAGCTTGAACGTCAAACTGGGGACATGTGACAGAATAATGTGACGGTTACAAGACTTTCCCATAAGAGTCTACAAGAAGTATAAAACATTTACATTTAAGGCGTGTAAGAGATACTTTCATCCAAGTGATCTTATACCTGTTAAAAGCTTCAAATGTTATCAGACAAAATTGAAAAATGGCTCTTGGAGTCAGTGAGGGAGTCCCATCTCTTTTTGTGGTCCAATAATAGTTGAGAAAGCCTCGGTCAACTCTCTCCTTTCCTTTACTTAGATATGCTACGTGTTAGGCTTGGTTTATATATATTTACATTGTTTTGTCATTGCTGCTAATGCTAACCATAAACATCCAATGTTAAGTTCTAACATGCTTAGCTGGGCTTTGTGCCCAAAACTGAACATCAACTCAAAGCCTAGCTTAAAGCTTAAGGAGCTTAAAATAAAGAGAATCTGTCAATGTAGAGCTGAGCCCAACAGTTTTTTTTATCCATCTAACAAATGCGTTTTCTGATGAACACTGCTGCCACTCACACGACTGGAGCTTTTAGTTTTGTTGAGTATCCAGATTTAAAATTCAAATTTAAAATTCATATTTGTTCCATACCTGGTGGTGTGTAGGCATCCATTGAGGTCTGGACCACCAGCGACCGCCGCTTAGAAGGCATCGGCACCGCCATCTTCCTCTCTTTGTGCTTGGCCAGGGCTGCCTGCACGGCCTCTGTGTGCACATCTGGAGACACATACAGCAGATTTGAACACATCAGGTTAGATTTATCTTTCAGAACCTTTTAATTTACAGTTGTACCAGTAAATTATCAAACAACAAAAACCTCTCACAGTGTTTTCTCTGAGGATGGATCCATTCAGCAAAAGGCCAAAGACACTATCGTGCCTTATATGTGGTCGTTATTTGGTTTTATTATTTAGATTAAATCCACAGTGGAGAGGATTCCAGTATACTTTATATTTATATTATTGTTGGCCAGTGTGAGAACTATAAAATGGCTTTCAGGGGAGTGGGTGCCTGACTGACTGACTCACAGTACGCCGACTACAAAGAAGAGTAATGAATAATGGCGATTAGGCGTGCAGACTCAGTTTGACTGAGAACGTTTGAGTGAAAGTGAGGAAAGTCCATGCTATGTATGTATCTTTTTACTCTATTTACTGAATTAGATCAACCTACTGCATGACTCATACATCAATAATAGCTTATTTTAATGCATTATCCATGATTTTGTAGATACAAAAAGATGGAAATACATAATAAGAATTGTATATTCTCAATATTTTAGAGACCCCCAAAAAGGGGAGTTCATGTCTTATTAAGTGGAGCCAAGCTGCATCTGGTTCCCCTTTTGTTCGCACCCTGGTGTTGGCCATTACCAAGCTGTGCCACAGTTTTTGCTGCCTGCCAGAAAGCCATTGATTTCCTTTCATTTCTGTGCATTAATAAAATAATCTTAAAAGGTCCAGTGTGTAGGATTTGCATCTAGCAGTGAAACTGCAGACTGATACCATCTGAACAGCCTTCCTAGTGTGTAGCAGAAACTACGTCAGCCATGAAACTTGAGTAAAATGCCAAAGGCTTTATCTACAGCAAGTGTTTGTCCATTTTGGGCTACTATAGAAACATGGTGGTTCAACATGGCGGACTTACAACAGAGAGGACCTGCTTACCTCTGTAGATAAAAACGTCTCATTCTAAGGCAACAAAAACACAACAATTCTTATTTTCAGATGATTATACTTCAATTTCTGACAATAGATCATCCAAATGTTACACACTGGACCCTTGAGTAAAGGGTCTGAGCATTTCTTCCACCACTGCTAACCATAAACACCAAAGATCTAAAAAAAGAAGTTAACTATTCAGGCACAGACAATGGCTGTGGCCAGTGTGAACACAGAGTGTTAAATAATAGAGGAATCAGAAAGTCCATCCAGCCACAGCACTAGCGCTGAGGGACAGGGTAGAAAAACAGCAGCAGGACTATCAGCTGGCCCCTCTGTATTTGTGCTGCAGTGTTCTTGTTACAATGAGCGCCGTGTTCCCATTTATTCACATTTGGTTTACGTACACAAACATTCCCAGCTTGACAGCGGCTCCCATGAGAGCCTGTGGTTTCCGACTGGATTAAGTTCAGGGAGTGTCGGCGAAGACATTTTGCAAATTAGTGTTTCTAGGAGCGAGATAAAGCACTGCGATATAGCCACAGCTGGGTTTGTTTGAATGGTGTCCATTGCTGGCAGAAGGCAAACACAGAGCGTCTAACGATACAGGCTGTTGGCCCGATAATGACATAAGTAAGACATTTGTCAGAATGAATGGGGCTCACAGACGTACATTTGTTTGGCTTGTGTGTGTGCTTATGTAGGGGAACGGAGGTAATTTAAATCTCAAGTGCACGTTTATTGTCTTATGGTTGACTGAGTGTGACTGCGCAGTGTGTGAAAGTGAGTGTGTGTGTGATGTTTAAAGGTGCTCACACCGCTTTTCTTTTTCACTTTAATGGGTTAAAAGGTTTTTACAGGATTTATTTCCTGTCAGATCAAACTCAAACAAACTCAAACTCTCTAACAGCATGTGGGAACCTAATAATAAAGTAAACCTGGTCCAGCAAACAGCTTGCCTCTTTTCTTATTGGACTATCTTTATTATCTCTATTGCTAAATGTCACCACAGTGAATTCTTACTGATTAATTTTGAATGAGATGCCAGTGGAAAGAATGTGCCCGAGTTAAAATCCTTAGTTAATCCTACATTAATATTTACTGGACACCAGATGGAACAAAACCAAACAATGCATGTTGCAAGAGCTGTGACAGATTTGTCAAAAGCTTTATCCGCAGGTCTCTGCCAAAGTCTGGATTTGCTGCAGCCCATCCTCCAGACAAAGGCTGAGAATATCAAACAGACCACTTGTGTCATAATAGCTGCTCAGGATGACCGTCCTCAGAAGGGATTGGGGTTAAGAGTGGAAGGTGTTCACTGGTCCAAACTTTTGTTGTATCTGATCCCAAAACAGATTATGGAAAATCTCTCTGAAACAAATGTGCATGAATGGATCTGGAAGGGAACTGAGGACTAGAGCTAGACCGATAAACCTGCTGGACCGACATATGAGTACAGAGTACACAGCAGGTTTCAGACCATAAACAGTGGCACCATGAAAAGTCCCACTCAGCATGTATCTTTGTCACAATTATTTAAAAAACACATCAATGTCCAACATTTATGTCAAGATTGTTAGTTTATATTTAACGAAAAGTTGTTCTGGCTGATTTATCTCAATCAAACTCTCAAATATCGGTATCAGTCGGGCAAGTTACTGAAATATATCAGTTAGTTTCAGTTTCTAGTTACTTCTCTCAAAAGTAATTAAATTACTTTATCAATCATTGTATATACATTTCTGCCTCAATTCTCTTGAATGCAAACAGTATATTTTTTTGCTTTCGACAAAAGTAATCCTAATTTCAGTAACTGTAATTGTGTTATTATTAGTTACCCCCAAATGTAGTGGGATTACAGTAACATGTTACTTTTTTTATCTCCAAACACTTGTCGGGCCACACTGAGGACATTCTGAATCGAGGATAATAAGACCTGGTGAACCCAACGGCTCTTATTCCTCTCATCTTTTTCAAGTTTTTACATTAAAGAACTCCAAACAACTGATGTACTATCACGTTTTACATCATCGTATTCTTTCTCTTTCAACCTCTTCCACATGTGGTCAAAGAACACCTCCATTATTCCTGCATGTCAAAGATCATATTCTCCCTTTTCTACCGTAGAAAAATGTGTTTTCTATCAGAGTTGTACCACTCAGGTAGTGGACAACCCACAGCAAAAGAACGGGACGCTACCCGAGTCCAAACTCTACTCTGAGTTACTAGGAACCGAGGGTACACATTAAGATAAGACCTGGAGCTTTTATATAAGGTGCAGCAGCAAATGTTTTGACATAAAGCACATCATCATCCAGAGTAAGAAGAGGAGCAGAGTGCAGGTGTCTCTGATAGGATGGACCGGTTTGGGACATTGTGTATGTAAAGCATTTATAAATATGTATTTTAAAAAAACATTGATCAAGCTTCCTCAGAAATATCATAGAACAATCATAGAAAATAAGATGGGGTGGGGAAATCTTCTCATTAGGCCAGCATGTCAGGGTGTAATCCATGATCTGCATTCACATAATGATGTGCCATTGCATCCTTTATCCTGAACTCGTCAAGACCTCTAGTTCCCTTTCTCAAGAACTTACCACACATGGGACACATTGCACAAAAGGCACTAATAACCAGAGATCATAAATTAAACCAGTGATTCAGTATTTCACTTCCTTAGGGACCTTCAACAGACAGATTAAAAACAAAATGGTCAAAATGGGAGCAGAAGTGGTCAAGCTCCAAAAACCTACATTTCCCATAATGCAAAATCCAAGTTGGAAACTCGGGCAGGATCGGTCTACAGTAAGCAGAATGACCTTTTCATCACATGTTTACTTTATGTAGTGTTGTGCTGTGACAACTTTGTAGTTTCCATTTGCATTGTCATTCAGTTGATTTGTGTTTGACAGATGTCTTTGCGAGCAAGTTTCAAAGTGTGCTAACAAACACTGATTATCTCAAGCAGATGGACCGGGACGCATTTAAATCTGAAGCCGGGAATACCTTCCCAAAGCCATCCGAGAATTACATAACTTCAGGTGACGACTTAACAGATTTTGATGTGTAAAATTGCCCCTTTAAGCCAATTAATACACATACAGTATATCTATATATGTATTTCTCTACATATGACACATAGGTGATATTAATATGAACTGCACTGCATGCATTAAAGTATCAAAGAGTTATAGCAATTATAAAGCAGGTTTCATTATTGATATGCAAATTTAGCAGCAATTTATAATCACATCAGCACTTTTATTGGATGAACTTGTGAAGTAAGATTACATTTTTTTTATCATGTCGTGCTTTACTTACCACCCATAACCTACTATGCTAATTAGGTGATTAAAGAAGCTCATTAACATAGTCATTAGCAAACATTTCTTTGCCAGCGTGTCAGATGTTAATACACCATGGGTAATATCACCTCTCATGTAGTTCCAGATTCAGTTCATCTGGTCCGTGTGGGGATAAACTGGGAGTAAGACATCGTCTCAAAACTGTCCCACAGGCGTATAATGGAGGACAACCCTGCCTCTTACCTGATCGGTAACGTTCGTCTCTGGAGCCAGAAGACCGCCGGCGGTGGTAGCGGGAGGACGAGGACGGGGTGACCGGGGTTCTCCTCTCCTGACCCATGGGCGGATCCATTCCTGGAAGAGAAAGGTTCAGATTTAAATCACAGCCCTCATGTTTCCAAACGAAAATCTATTTCACAGAAAAAAAAAAAAGTTTTTTTCTTAATTGTGTGTATTCGCTAATAAATCATTCATTTCTGACAGATGTTTTTTAAAATGTGAGGATCTGCTGCTGGTCTACAAACACAGTTATTGTAGTTTGGCTGCTGGTTTGGCCCCAACACGATCAGCAGCAGCAGAGGTTCTGACTCTTTCAATCCCCTTGGTGCCCAATTGCTGCAATTTGTGTCAGAATTTGTTCTCCCTTTCTGAGTTTACCTACTTTCTTTTCTTACTTTACTTATATACACATCTGAACACGCAGATTCAGCGTGACTTCTCCGGGGTATCATTATCTCCAATGTCCATCATAAATAAACATCCATAATCTGCTTAGAAATCATTAAAAAAAAGACTCTCAATGTTTGGTTGATTGTGGCGACCCCTGTGGACAAAAGCAGCAGTGTGTCCACCACCTTGTTTTATTTATTTCTAGCGGAATCTGACCGAATCCAACAAGGTGGCAGAATAACTAGAAATAGCCAGTCTTCTCGCTGATGGTGTTGTTTGCTTATAGGTCAAATAGAGGCATCATAACCAGTTAAAAACTCCTTTTAGTAAGTTTAACCAGCAGCATGCCCAGTGGGGGGGCCTGAAATCTGATTGGCCACCACAAGTGCCACCCCATTATCCTTTATACCTCTTCCACTCCACACTGTGTTTCAGAGGCTGTAACAGGCTCTGTTTTAATGCTAGAGTAAAGATACTGGTATGAAACTAGAAGATGTAAGGCACCTCTGACCTGATGATATCTGAATTAAAATGTATTCTACGGGTACCCACGAGTCTTCCCTTTGCAGATATTACCACTTTATGGTAATCCCGAGCAGTTTGGGGAAAAAATACCATATAGTGGTTTTAGCATGTGCTATAAATGTGTTATTTCACGCCTAGTGTGTTTGAATATGTTTGCATGCTGGGGTCCTTAAACAAGTGTTGGAATTGCATAAATTAGGAATAACGTCAAAGCTTAGACACATACTTCATGACACTCCTGCATAAGTTAGAGTCCCACTTGATTCCCCCCCAGTCATAGAAGTCTGGACACGAGTTTAACTCTTCAGTATATAACAGGGACTGCTACCGTCAATTCAGCATACATTTAATGGTGCCAATTTGCCAAAATGTGAAAATAAAATGTGGTGGGAGTGGGAGATAGTTGCAGTTGACTCAATTTTGTCTGTTTGGGGGGTCCAACAGTGTCTGATACTTCAAACTCTTGATCCATGACACAATAAAACAAAACCAAACAGCCTGACTCAGCATGAAACATCATCATAAACCTGCCAACAGCAACAACGACACACACACCCTGTCTGCAAAACCACACTTCCTTAAAGGAAATTCAGTTATTGAGACAGAAACTACTTGATTTATTTATTTTTTTTGCTTTTTGCAGTGTCACACACATAGTACACACTGTTCAAATAACACTCATTCAGTTAGATAAAGTCGAGTTCTGGAGATCTATTATCAATTTGCTTCAAGGGCCATTGTGTGCAGCAGCTCGCCACCCAGACCAACAGATATACACACAGTAGAACGTAAAAGAAAAACACAGTTAATAATAACACTAAACATAATAAAAGGTTGTAAGCTGAAACATATATGTGGAGTGGGTATACATTAATAAATAACTATAACAATATCTAAAAAGAGAGACTTCTCTTGCATCAAACCTGCCACGTGAGGTAGGTACACACAGACACACACAGTACAAACACACTAATAGAGAAAACAGACTCCCTACACACCAATCAATACGTCTGATGATAACAACCACCCTGTTACTGACAGCTATGGCCGCTCCAGAGCTGCTGATCTATGAGCATCCATCTCCAGCTTCACACTTCCGCCCTCGTCTGTCTTCATTAGAGCTCTCAGCACGCCTCAGAGTATCACTGCAGCTCAGGAGAAAAGCTAAAAGTTGATTAGCCGACCATATAACGACTACCAGCCAGCGCTGGAATATATGACAGGTCTGGGAAATACCTCGCTTTCCTGTTTCCTCCGGGGAGTCTGGATGGATGGATGGATTCTCCCCCCTCCCTCCCAACTCATTCTACCTGCTCTCCAGAAATGTCTTCTTTCTCTCTCCTTTCTTCTCACTTAGTGTCTTTTGTCTGCAGATTTTTCTGTTTGTTTGTCCATTTATTCATTAGTCAAAGACAAAGTATAGAATATGTTGAGGCATTTTTACATTTATATATCTACTGTATTGAACCAAATCCTACTGACTTCTCCTGTTGCACCAGCAGGTCATATCTTAACTGTGAAATATCTCAGCATCTACTGGTTGTGTTGGTGCACAATTTGGTACACACATTCATGGTTCCCTAAAGATGAATCCTAATAACTCTGGTGACTGAGACTTTTCATATGGCGCCATCATCAGGTAAATTTGTTCAATACTATGTTTTATGCAAATCAGCCTCAGTTGAACTTTGTGTTTATTGCTTATTAGAAAATGTTAAGATGCATGTTTGCATGGTGCACCTGCATGTCTATGTGCAGGAACCGAAACCTCTCGCCTCGTACTTGCAGGTATTAGTTATTGTTTGTTTTAAATTCCTTGCTGTCACATGGGTGAGGTGTGCTACAGTGACTGCTGGGAAAGTACAAGTAGGTAACACTGAATAAATAAATCATCTATCTGACGTTACTGTTATTCCCCAGTTATACCACATCCATCTGATACAAACACTCCAAACACTATTTGACCCAGACACAGGCACACGGTGAAACCTTAAAGGAAATCAATGCAGGCCTCTCATCCATTCCCTTTCTGTCAACCACAGCCGCTAGAACGACACTAAAGAACAGAGACGGATGAAGTAGACAACCAGCAGCACCTCAACTGCCTCACAGGCTGCAGTTCCCAGATATTTTACCATGTTTTAATGTACTAAAAACACACTAAGATTCAACAAAATGTCTTCCATTTTCTTAAAAGTTTTCCAAACAGTATAAATAGAATTTAAAATATAGTATAATCTCCAGAGTCTCGGCTGCTCAAGGTGTATAATTCAAGGTTTTGTAGTGTGTTCCCAGATGGTTGGTGATCTGCATCATGAGTATCATTTGACATTTTTAAGTGTCAGTAACAATAAAATACTTGAGCTTTGGAACGGACACCAAAACAGTACTTTAATTACAGTGGATGCGATGCCCTATCTTAACCAAGTGTTTGGTTTGTCTGTTCTGGGCTACTGTAGAAATATTAAGTTCAACATGGTGCCTCCGTAGAAGAGGACAAAAACACAAAGATTCTTATTTTCAGTTAATTATACACTGATGAAAACAAACCTATATAAATGATATCCCATTCTTGCCAATAGAGCCCCCTAAATGTTTCACACTGGACCTAAAGAGTGAAATATCAATGAAGATGTAAACAAAACAAATACACCTACATTGTACAAATGGGTCAAACTAAATCAGACAAAACTTATTAAAGTTACTGAGAGCTCTAAATTTCTCTAGTGGTCATCAACTCATCACAAACAAAACAGCTGGTTATAAACATTAAGTCGATTTAACCTCGTAAATCTTGACAGACGGATAGAAACATGATGGAAAATGTGATTTGGAGAAAACCTCCTTTTTATTGCCCAAGCACACTGTTTTATGTTTAGCTTGAAACAAAAACTTTTAAAGCGTCCAAGGGCTGGTGGTCTATGTTGGACTGAAAAGGTTCTCATTAGTCTGAATGAATTGAGCCAAATGGGCAAATTTGGAGCTTGTTTTCATTGGTTCAGAGTGAAACTACTCTCAGACCACATGACATACATATTGGACGAAACACAGATAAACACATACACATAAACCCCATTTATTACCACTGGATTGTATTGTTATTCCAGGCATTACATTTAGAGCAACATAGTATAATTTTAATCTACACAAAGAAAAGTTGAATTTCTACGAACCTACATACAGCCAAGTAAAATAAATATACAAGGAGTGCACAGTTTTTATTCACAGTTAAGAAAGTGATATATACAGTACAAGACGTGGAAAATCAGACATTGTTATTTTACTTTTAACAAATTGTGCAGTCTTCACATACTGGCAAGTATACTTCAACGTTTGTTATCATTGGCACAATCCACCGACTTCAAATGTAAGCAGCAGCATTTTTATGATGACACACCGCATGTGTCACATTTACTGTAAGAAACCAGTTTTCTTTTTTCTTTTCCTGTTTGATAAAACTGTTGAGTCACAGTAATTAGTGCCAACTCACTGAGCAATATTCAGCCACTGTGCAGGAGTGTCATTGGTTCTGAAGGCATACTGCCAATCACAATCAATCAGTGTGACGAGAGGAGTAGTCTTTATAAAGTAGAATAAAGTTCAAAGGTTCAAAATGTGGATGTTCAACTAACAAGGGGACAAATTCTTCATTATAAACAGACAAATACAGTTCTCTAACTCAAAAGTTAGTGAATTAGTTTCCAAATGTAGATGCAACGTAAATGCATTTCATGGGTCCATAGATTTAAACAACGTCCTGGGGAGATGAACACCAATTAAAGGTTAAATAGAGACAAAGTTCAGTTGGAATTATGGCAATTAATTCCAATTAACTGCTAGTGTATATTAGTTGTAATAGTATAATTAGTTATTTCCCTTTCACAAAATGATACTCATAAATAACAGACCCGTAAATTAAAACTTTTAGCTATGTGGATATCCTGAAACAACAGGAGGAAGTTCACAAACACTGCGGGTTGAGTCTTTCATTTGTACAACTTTACACATTTATATCTCTATATACTCTATTTCTAAGGCAAATGCTGTTCTCTTTCTTTGAGTGGTCGTGATGGCTACTAACAAAATATTACAGACCCCCCAATAGTAGGAGTGGTTAGATCTCCATCAATAGATAACAATATTGTTTTAAGCACTTTTACTTACATAGTTTACTTGTCATACACATATTTAAGTTTACCACCATTATAAATCTGTCACAATACTTCCCCCTTGTTTGACTGAAAATCTCAGCAGCTCTTCACCAACTCTACTTCAGCTTGCACACCTCAGCAGCAGCTCCGTCTGACAGCCAGAGTCCAGCATAGAGAGGCTGAGTGAATGTGGTCTTGACTTTACGGAGGAGAGTCATGGTGTCAGAGACGCTGTAGAAGGACAGAATACCTGAACTGTAATCAAGATACACTCCAACTCTGGAGGACCACGTGCCCGGGATGGGAGTTTTCATGTTGTTATGCTTGAATTCGTAACTATTTTGGTAACAATCCAAAGCCCAAGAATTCTCTTTGTGTCCAAACACGCTTTCGTCGAAGGACCCTGCTCTGCTGATACTCTTGTATGCGACTGCTACTAAAACTCCTCTCCCGCTCCTCTCCACCTCCCAGTAGCAACGTCCAGTCAGACTCTCTCTACTCAGGACCTGCCAGGAATATGCAAACCTCTCTGGATGAAGAGGATATTTCTGTTCTTCTCTCACAAATACTGCCTTTCTGTTCCCTTTAGATACTGACACATGTGGGTTTGCAGTGTTTTCATCCAGTGTTATTTGGCATGAAAAATATAAGAAGTCGGCTCTGGTCTTGGGCTCTGCTGGGGGAAGTGGTGATAAAACTTGGGCTTCAGTTACTGTCATTGCGATCTTTGCAAATTCTTCACCAATAACTTCTTGTAGTTTATCTCTGGCCTCTGACAGAGACACTGTAACCTTCTCAAAGTACCGCAGACGGCAGACTTTGACACTGGGTGGGTCTTTGGATTGACTGAGACGTGACAGTGAGTGGTAGTTTAATAGAAACTGGGTGTGGTCCTCTGAGTGTGAGAGCTTCTCCAGCTCAACATCTTTCCTCCTCAGCTCAGCGATCTCCTGCTGCAGCTTCTCCCGAACATTTCTGTACCGACCCACTTCAGTTTTCTGCCGAGATTTGATCTTTTCCTTCACATCAGAGACTCTTTTCTCAATGACACGAACCGTTTCTTCCAAGACCCTCTGAGTGTTCCTCAGTGCATCTTCAGCAGAGTGATTAGCTGAATCTTCCTCCTGCTGAAACAACTTCACATCTTTCTCTTTTTCCTGGATTCTCTGCTGGATTTTTCTCCGAGTCACCCCAAGGTCTCTCTGCCTCTCAGCCCTTTCCGCTGCAGCTGAGACTTTGTTATGGCCTTTATGGTCATCCTTGGAGCAGAGATAGCAGATGCAACGCTGATCAGTACGGCAGTACAACTTCATCGCTTCTTGATGCAGAGAGCAGATGTTCTCCTGGAGCTGTGCAGTTGCTTCCACTAGCTTGTGTTTCTTTAATGGAGCTACATCATAATGAGGCTGGAGGTGTTTCTCACAATAGGAAGCCAAACATTGCAGACAGGATTTGAAGGCTTTCAGTTTTCTCCCAGTGCAGACATCACAGGACACATCTTCAGGTCCAGCATAGTTGTGATCAGCGGGAGCGGCTGGGACTTGGACAGCCCTCTTCAGTTCGTCCACAACAAACGCTAACATGTTATTTTTCACCAGGACAGGCCTCTGTATAAAGATCTGGCTGCACTGAGGGCAGCTGTAGAATCCCTGCTTATCCTCTTTATCTAAGCGGTCCTTGATGCACCTCATGCAGTAGCTGTGACCGCAAGCAAGAGTCACCGGATCATTCAGTAGATCCATACAGATTGAGCAGCAAAATTTATCCCGTTCAAGTGTAATCCCTTGTGCCATGTTGCTTTCAGACGAGAGCAGGTATCTGATGGCTGAAAGATAAGAAATGACTGAAGTAGTTTCACTTTATCTGTACACAGAGAGGGAGGGCTTTGCAGGCTTTGCTTCATTCCAGAAAGAGGAGTGTCTTTGAAGAGAAAGACTGCTTTTGGTTCTTGTAAAGTCTGATTATTCAGGTTTGGGGCATTATGGGAATAGTGGGAACAATAGCAGGTTCATTCCTGAACATACAAAGTATTTTAATATAGAATATATGAGACTTGTGTAGGTGTATGAGTATAAAAAGTTTTTTAGGTTAAGGGCTGGCATGACAGTTATTCAAATGACAATAGCTTGACATACCTTGGTGTCATAGCCCCAGGGAGTGTGATGCAAAACTATGTTATTACGCTGACACTGACTGTCAGTCTTCAGACCTTAACATTCATAATCTGTGTTTGTCTGAGGTAACTCCACCAAGACTTCCTCATTTTGCAGTCCCAGTAACTAAGTCATAGATGTTAAACTGTTGAATATGTGTCACATTTTTCAGAAGAGAGTAATTTCAAGGACTGAAATCCTTTTAGAGTGTCCTAGAGTTTGAGCTTCTGGAAATTTAGAGTGACAAAGTCCAGGTCTAACAGTGTGAGAAATCATTTTTTCTTTCATGTGATCAAACTGGTGAATTCTGATAATATAAAACAGTTGTATGACGATGGTGTTTTAAGCATTGATGTTTGACTTAGATGATGATGGCTGGATGCACTACAGGCATTAAGTTGTCACTTTATGTGTGGCGGATTTAGCAATTCTTTATGTTTTATGCATTTAGTTCTGATGCCTGTGTTTCATTTGGGTGCACGTCAAATGTCTCCTTTTTGATGACAAAGCTGAAGGAGAAAGATTCAAAAAGTTCCTACAAATCCAAAGGTAACCCTCCAATCTCTACATCCATGTTCTTCTTATCTAGGACTAAATGGTACATTACATAGTGTACTTATCAATAATACTGATATTGGAAGGACAGAGTGCTGGATCTCATGATATCAAAGTCCTCTCTGAGTAAAGTCTAATCTATAATGTGAAACCATGTAAATCTGGGTAACTGGGGGAAAACCCATTACTTTGAACACTGTAAATGCTTTAATCAAACAATATCAGCCTGACTGTGTACCGAGCAGCGCGGATTAACAAGCCTCAGAGCTGAAATACATCACAGGGAAGGAATCGGTGTCACTGCTCTGTGTGTGTGTGTGTGTGTGTGTGTGTGTGTGTGTGTGCATGTGAAAGGGAGTATTGTGTTGTTAGGTGTGTGAGAGAGCATCTGAAAATAAGAGAAAGGGGGTATTGTGTGTATGCATGTGCACAAATGTCTCTTACTTGCTTTGCAGGACTGAGAAGGAATGAGCAATGTAGGGGTCAGAATACAGTGTGTGTGTGTGTGTGTGTGTGTGTGTGTGTGTGTGTGTGTGTGTGTGTGTGTGTGGGCGTGCACAGAGGAGTGTGTGTCATCCGGTCCCCCATAGCGAACTAGGGACGACCCCCCCACTGGGCCTGGATGTGAATACCACACATTTTCTCCATCCCACACCCCTCATTCCTTCCCATAATGCACTTCCTGACAACCCCCCAACCCTATGAACACACACAGACACACACAGACACACACACAGACACACACACACACACACACACACACACACACATACACAGTGTATTCCAGTAATAGCTCTGGCAGTGCCAGTGTGTCTGCTGGTCTCCAGTGACGCTACAGTCCCGTCCTCAGCAGTCTGATGCAGTGTTTTACTGTAAAATGGACTTTTAGATCCTTTGCGTCAAACTCAATAACATCCATCTGTGGTGTGTTTCCAAAAACAACTTCAACTGGTGATGATTTATTAAGTGTACGAAGATCAGAATCAACACATATCCTATGTGGACGAAATATCAAACTCTCCGGTTTTCTTTTAGAAGAAAAGCAAACCCCCACAGTGAATGTTTTGGACAAAAACATCTAAATAAATAAACAGGTATTCCTGGAAATGAAGCATTGCAGTTTCAAACCCTGCAAGAGTCCTTTCAGTGAAACAAAGACCACTGATTCTTCCTTCATAAGAATAATTCTCTCTGTGTACAACCAGCCAACACATTCCCACAATAATAGTTTGTTTTGGCAAAGTAAAAAAAAAAAAGTTTCTTTTCACTCTGTCCTGGTTAAACATACTCGACACGCAGATGTTTCCCATGGGATGTCTAATTTTGAAGGTAGAAGAAAAAAAAACACTCCCTGAGGTTTCATGTATCTAGTCAAAGTCCAGAAAGTACAAAAAAACACTGTGTATCAGTTTCTATGAGAGAAATCACAGAGCTGAAACTGTGTGTTTACTCAAATGCGCTAAATATGAATATTCAGATCAATTTGGTTGTTATTATTTTTTGAATTCTTGGTGGGATGTCCGATTTCACCATCACAGATGTGGACAGGTTCATTGTTAACGGTCCACTGTGAAATGGAATATAATATCCATAGGTATGTTTTCATTAGTGTATAATCACCTGAATAAGACCTGTTGTGTTTTCGTTACCTTAGAATGAGACGTTTTTATCTACAGAGGGAGCGGGTCCTCTTATGTTTCGTCAAATACAGGAATGACTGGTGATTGCAACTTCAACACTAGATGCTAAGAACTGATACTAAATGCACACTGGTCCTTTAAATAGTATTTTATTGCTTTTTAACCTTTTATGTGAGAATGACTCCGTTCTGACTTTGTTCATTATTTGCTTGTTGTTTATTTGCAACTTTTTCACATTTTATACTTTAGGTGACGTCTGTTCATTAGAAGTTTTTAAGCAAATTTCCTCTCATTATTATTTTTCCGGTGCAATTCTTCATATTCCTAAAAGTTGCTCTGTCTGTTTTTTAAAGGGGACAAATGAAAAAGGTCACGGGGAGTCAGTTTTACCTGGCGCTTGTGGGAAAAAGGCTCCAATCAGCTTGGATCGCTTCTTCTCATAGCCCTTCTGTGTGATATCACCTGCCAGAGACAGAGAGAGAGGGAGACATTTACTTTCCATATTCTTCTAACTTTTATATGTAGCCTGCAGCACAGAATAGTAGAGAATAAAGCACGTCCATCATTACAAACTGTCGAATTCAGATTTCTCACACCCCACAGAAAACTAATTATCTGCGGCTAAAAGATTCTTTAGACTAAAACCGGCTGAATTAATGGAAACTAATGTCAGAGAGAAACAATAAAGCTGCACTAAAATGTAGGTTTTTTTTTCTACAAAGAGCTGAAATCTCAGACATCAAAACACAAAGCAGTCAGAGAGAAAGCTGTTTGACTTGTCATATTATGCTTAGTCATCCTCTCCACTCAACCAAGACCAGATGGTGCAGTTTGGGCCCCCTTGTGTGTGTCTGTGTGTGTCTGTGTGTGTACGTGAGTTCGTTTTGGAACTCAAAGAACTGCAGATGTACTTAATTCACCTTTCACGGTGCGACGAACCACCACAAAAACTTGCTGACTGATCTCCCCGAGTGCAGTGATAAATCAAGCCTTCCTAACGGTACCATCAGCAGATTTCCACGCAGCACAAAGTATCCGAATTCAATAGCTCTCCTATAATGGTTGTGTTTTCACCACCAGGGAATACCAGACGGGTGGAGTTTGCCGCATTTACAAAGAAAGTTTTGGATAAAGAGAGCCAGAAAATGCTGGAAAATGACTGGAAAGTACAGGAACTCCAGCGGTGAGCGCTTGTTTTTGAGTGACGGTGTCTGAATTCATTTAACGCCAACCAACTTGGAGTCTCCAAGTGAAGAAAACAAACAATGACAAATAATTTCTGGGTGAAATAAGGCAACAACGTCAGAGGCAGCAAAAGAGAGAAGCATCATGGGAGTTTGAGTTTAAGAGCTGATAGACGTAAGCAAGACAAGTGAGTGTGAAAGCAGAGGAGAGAGAGGGGATACGTGGGTAATGCAGTTTGTAAGGTGGCAGTGACGGATCGCTCTGTACAGATTAACTATTAGAGAGCCATCTATCAAACTAGTAACGGCAGGAGGGAGGAAGTAGAGACGAACGTATCTGATGGAGATGCTCTCACGGTTTGTGTTGGTGAGGGAACAGAAAGTTGTGAAGAAAGAGTGGAAAATAAAAGATTGAAAAACTGGAAAAGCACTCTGACTCTGTTGCATCTTTGTAAATCCTATAAGAACTTTCTTTATTCAGTCCAAAATATCATATTTCTCTTTTAAGGGGCAGTTTGAGGGAAGATAAACACAAAACCACACATAAACACACAGTAACTTATCACAAAAGTCTAAACACAAAAAAAAAAAAAAAGAACCCAATGTGGGACCGACGACCTATATATATATTTCCTGTTTTAATCTATGATGCACTTTTATGAATCATAAGTGTACTTTTTCCTGCCATTAAGTGACCTTTCATCTATAATCCCCTTGCATAACATAAGTTTTTAATCTGTATTTTTTGTTCCTTTCAGGAATCATGTGCTTTCTAATACCTGGAATTATTATTTTTTGAATTTTTAATTAAACATTTTCCTACACAGGTGGACAAAATAAGGCAAAGAAAAAAACAAAATTGGATAATTTTAGCTTGAATACGAAGAAAAACAGCAAAAAGAGCTGATAAACGGCACCTTCATGTACGTTTTTAGTCCTTTTTCTTCACATTTTGCTCATGTTTCATGCTATTTACAGTTTGTGTCACTTCATTTTACGTCTGTGTCGTCTATAATTGGACAAGTGTGTCACAGTATGAGAACACTGCTTCACGACAGATTAAAAGCAAACCAGTCGAATACACAACTCTCAAAAAGCCTAAATGTGCTTTCTTACACAGAGCGTGATTTTGTGAGCTGTAACTGAAGCAGCAGACGACGGCTGATGAGCTGTGGAGCAGTTTCAGGATTTCTCCGACTGCAGGATGACTCAGTTAAAAACAAAAAAATGAGAATTCATAGAAAATCAGAGTGAAGAAGAAGCGTCGTATGACTCAAGCAGGGAGAGATGCATCAAACCGACCTGAGTGACACTAAAGCTGCAGCGGATTTGTCGAACACGGAAAAAAGCTGTTTGCGCGGCTGACTTGACAAATCCTTCTTAAACACACATACATGTGTCTAACTGGCTCGGATCAAGAAACCAACTGTGGGCACGGACGTCATCGGTGACTGTGTGTGTGTGTGTGTGTGTGTGTGTGTGTGTGTGTGTGTTTCTGGTAGCGTGAAGGGAAGGCACATGGCAATAATTAGCATCTCTGGTAGGGGATCTAACTACCCCGCAGAGAGAAAGAGAAACTGGCGAATGCTTCAGTTTGAGAGGAGAAAAAGAGACACTGAGGGAGGTTGGGGCACGAGGGATAACTGGAGGGAGGTCTGACCTTGTCTTCAACATACTAACTTCTTAAAGTGACATAAATACACACACACACACACACACACACACACACACACACACACACACACACACACACACACACACACACACACACACACACTCAGCTATTAACCACCTCCTTGACTTAATTGGGATTTTATCTGGACAGAGCGAGTCAAAGTGAAATGAAGGTGTCAGTCATCGAGCTGCTCCCTTAGATACTGTAACAGCTCTGTGTGTTTGCAATCTCCATCCAATCAGATAGCGAGACGGGCGGTCGGCCTGTCTGTCAGTCAAACAGTCAGTCAGTGAGACAGGCAGTCAATCAGGCTGGTCAGAAGCGACCGTACAAGATTAACAGTGAGAGTCTCTGAATCCTGCTTTCATTCTCCATCCAGACACGACTTATTAGTGACGACACGTCCTCGAAATCAGAGGTTTTTAAAGTCTGAGGCTGTGTCCCCTCAGACAAAACTTGAAATACCGTATCTCTTAATCTCTTAATATGAAAATAAAATGGCAAAAAATGAATACAATTCATGATCTGACAGAGCTTCGGTTCTGGTTTGGTTAGATTTAGGTTTAAAGAAAGGTTGATATATTAGGGGTTTGGGTAATATATTAGGGTTAGAGATACCTCGTGGTTTCTAGTTTCTGTCACATACTTAAACCTCTTTGGGTCTTTTTCAAATGAAACAGTCCTGGAAGCAAAGTTCGGTCATTAGAGGTTGGCTCAGCCTCACACCTGAATCCACTAGAGGATACCGGGTCACAGACACGTTTTGCCTCACCGAAATGCAAAAAGTACAAGTGCAAATGAAAGTGCTATAAACCGTCAATGTCGGCATGGGAAGGAGGTTTTTGTCAGACTTGTCAGCTACAATCTTTTCCTGAACTTAACTTAACTGCGACCTCAGCTAGTTTTATTTTGAAAGTAACCACAGAATGATATATAAGTATTTATAACGTGACACTTCCACGTCTATCAGTTGTAAATATGAGCTTTACTGATGTTATGTGATACGAAGTTCTAGTAAACTTCTTAATTCTTAGACCAGAGACAAGAATGAAGAAGCTGTTGATGAGGATGGAGGGATGAAGATCTTTTGAGGAAGGAATGAGGACTCAGGCTCTAATATTCCTCTACACCCTTCATCTGTCTGTCAGATAACAGGCCGGGCTCTGGATGACGTTGCCACCGGCCGTTAGAGACGGGTCAGAGAGAGGTGATCTAACGCTGCGAGGAGGAAACACACACTGGCCCTGACAACATGTTTCATATCAAAGCTGTTTAGTGAGAAAACGTCAGACTTCAAACTCCCTGAATCACACAGACAAAGTTAGGATTTTTGTCAGGTTGACCCAGACGGGAGATAAAAACTTCCAAAGGTCGATGATTCAGACAAACGGTTCTGTAATAAATACAGACAGAAATTTTAATACTTTAAATATTCTATCCTGAAAACTGGTGAGAAAAGTGGAAAAAATTAAACTTCTGTCACTTCTTTAACATTTAGCCCAAATCCAAACAAACTTAAAGTGAAGAAAATACAGAAAAACAAAGAAAAGGCAGTAAATTAAAGAAAAGGAAGGACCCTGCAGTCTTAAGCTCAGACAGTCAGAACCATGTAAGGTACAGCAACCACAGCCCTGCATTCATCTCCAAGTGAAGTGCATTCAATTGTTGTGAAATATGCACGCAGCAGCCTGATGACAGCTGTATGACCTCACTATAAGCCTCTTATGAATTATTAACAATCAGACGTAAACATACTGCAGGCTGCACCCTCTGCGACGCCCTGCGTTCACGTCAGGCGCTGAAGTGGCGCGCTGTGGGTAGTCGACGTATACATCCCTCCTTCTCGCACTTACACTGACATCTGTGGGTCACCATAGCAACAGATGGTGTAATGACTCCCGGATTATACAATAACTCGACTCGAATGAGCAGGAAGATAAACACTGAAGTCATTTTATGATTTTACAGTAATATACTTATATACAATATCTGTTGCACTATATGGACATAAATATGTGGACACCCAACTCTTGGTCTGTTTTTCATGGCTTCTGTTTGGTGTCTTAAAGCTGCAGTGCAGAACTTTTGTCTCCCTCTCTGTCAGTGAGAGTAATTACTCAAACTAACACAAGAATTTGAAGTCTTCCAAAGTCTATTACACTCAGTGCTCAATACAAAACCCACAGTTCAACTAACAATGAACGAGTCTTTATCTAAACATCACCTCTTTGGGATCCAAGGAAGCAAACAAAAATACTCGTATATAGTTTGAGAGATACATCCGCGGGCCAGCAAATACAAATCCAAGTGACTCATTGCCAGAGGTTGGCAAACTAATGGATCGCTTTCAGGATGGACTGCTTCTCTTCCACTGGTGAGTAGATGCGGCCCTTTTTGGTTTCAAACACTGGACGCATCAATATTGGTGCTCCAGCAGGTCAAAGTCACCACAGATTTAAAGATATAATATGTAACATTTTCACAATAAAAATGTCTAAAAGGGCTTGAATGTAACAGACATTTATTTATACCTAAAAGTCCCACAATGCAGCTTGGATTCCAATTAAAGGGAAACTTAAAAGCTGCAGCTCACAACAACACTT